ATCAACCCAATCTGGTTATCTCTCACTTCTGCACTCCCATTATCGCGGTAGTAGTCAGAAAACTACAACTCCGTCCAGTGTAGATTATGTGTGAAAATTGTGTTTTTTGTGTTGATACCGTACAGACAACTTGTCTCTTTAGTGATGGCGTCTATTTTGATAGTGCTCTAATTTTAACAATAGCCGTTAAATAGTGCATGGATATAGGTGCTATGTCTCATGTGTACTGAGATCTTTTAATTTTATGAATGTGTCTTAATTCTCGCAGATGATTTGTGCTGTGCTTGGTTTACGTATTCTATCTTGGTTAGTTCTGATGTCCTAATGACTTATGCTTGCTCCGCCTGGGAATTAGCGGCAGACACCAACCACTTAAAATTGTAGATCCTAAAAAACAAAGTTCTGCGCACCATTGGAAATTCTCCAAGTTGCACACCGGTCCGCGACTTGCACACGGCTTTCAATCTTCCTTATGTATACGATTATATAATAAAATTGTGTAGGCAACAAGCAGAAGTCATACAAAATCATGAGGATGAACATGTTCGCAGTATAGGACAAAGTGAACCCAGACATAGAAAATATAAGAGGCTTAAACTTGGCGGTGGTGAATCTTCCAACAATTCAAGTGATTAAGCTGTTGTTGTGGCATAAGATATGTAAGATAGCCATGATCTGCTTTGCTAAGCCTGTGTTGACAGAAGACTTGGCGAAGGCCAAGCATATTCATAAGAGGCAAATCCATCTTCTTCTCAGAGAGGACGTTACATAAGGACTATTACCGGAAGGGCTCAGTTGGATAAACAAATCTCTGGTCGTGAGTCTCAAGGGGCTTGACGCCAAGACGAACTGATTGGCAGTAAACCGCCAGTCGCAAAGTGACTCTGACCCTGACTCTCTGCTGGTGTCAGGAGATAGGGTCTAGAACTATTGACTGGTCCCACCTGAGTAGCTTCCACCTGAAGAATCCAGTCTCCGAAACGATGTGTGTTTTAAACGAAAACAGGACGATGGATAACGTCCAGAAACACAATAATTGTATATACTTCCGCGGTTTACTAATGCAGATTAATTTCTGTAATGATCTGCCAGTTACGTCGAGTTTGTGAAAGTCGATCTCACTCTACCGGTATCTTGAAAGAGACAAGAGACATTAAAATGTCCTTTACCTACGGAACTGAAGTGGCTTTTTAAAAAAAAAAAAATAAGAGTCGAGCTCAGAGAGTGAGGGGTAGTGTGAAACTAGAATACTGATCTCCCTCCACTCACCTCGCAGAACGATGTCTGCATAAGGCCGTAATTGGTTTTTGCTCCCGTGTTACTTTATCGTCTTCATCACATAAATATTCGACTCTTTACCGGGAAGTTAAAAACTACCACGTCCGGCCCTTACTTCCTCAACTTGAGCATTTTAAGTCAGAAAAGGGTGTAAGACTCCTTGCTGATTGCCCTTTATCAGCTACATATGAAGATCTGTAGCGGCCAAACTAAAACGGGAATATGTACTCTACTTCTGTATGCTATCACATGAACTTCATTCCTGTGTGGTATAACAGTTCCAGAACATAATTCAGTCACATGACCATGATCAGGAGGAAATTATGCATAAAATTATGCAGAAGGTAGGGAGGGCTAAATTGTATGCAGAGTGTAATTGAATAAAAGCTGCTATTTTAAACCGCCTGTCACAGTCGCCGCGCAACACGTCACAGTATGAAAGGATTCCGGTCGCTTGAACACTGGGATCGTGGATTCGAATCCCACTAAAGGTACGAAAGTTTGTTTGCATTTATTCTGTTTGTGTTGTCCTATGTAAGATAGCGGCCTTGCAACGGGCTGATCCCCCATTTAAGGTATCCTACCGACTGTCTAAGATTAAGAAACTGAAGTGAAACGACCGTTTCATGGATACCCTATGGTCCAAGTGGGAGCAAGAGCCACAAACAGAGTTGGATAGACATTATTTAATCCATGTTTTAAGTCAGATGCAACTTACAGCTGTATTAATAGGAAAATATTAGAAAGAGTTACTCACTAATATATATAAATAAAACCAGTTGTTAAAATGATAGAAGTGTAAAGAATGTGTAATTATATATTAGTAACCCTTATATGGCCGGTCACGGTAGCCGAGCAGTCTAAGGCATGCACTGTCTTCGCCATCTTGGAAACCAGGATCGTGGGTTCGAATCCCACTCAGGGCATGGATGTTTGTGTGCGTTTCTCTGTGTTTGTGTACAGGTAGAGGCTTTGCGACGAGCTGATCACCCGCCCAAGGAGTCTTACAGTATGTCTAAGATCTAGTAAACCGAAGTGAAACGGAGAGTTAAAATGAGGTAGGCCTAGGCCCAAATGAGGGCTGTAGCGCCAATGAAAAAGAAAAAAAAACCCTTATATGACTCTGGTATAGTCGTTTATGTAAAAGCCATCATGCTAGTTACAGAAACCTTTTACACACGTTAGGTCTCATAACGAACTAATACAGAGAGAAATCTTTATTTTAAACAACCAAGCGGAGCGGAGTAGCGGGGAAGTCGTTGACTCATATTCGGGGGGAGGAGGGATGCATGAGTCGATACTCGTTAGGGGGGGGGGACATCAGCTATCCTAAATGAGATTTTTTAAGTTTTATTCAGTCTCTCCAGGCCAAATGGGTTAGTACCTCGATTTAGCCATGACCATTTCCTTCAATATCATTTTCAATCAATCATTCGTCTGACATTCTACCACTCGATCCTACAGACACCTACTGACAGGGTTCTGAATTAAACCACAGAAACTATTTTTAGAGATTGCAAAAGAGATCTACGTCCGATCCAATCAGGTCGCCTGCACATCTGTATTTATATAAACATTTTATTTATATTTTGAAATTCTTGCTGTTGTTATCCTTATATACAGGTTTTGTAAGTCACCAGAAAATAAAGTGGGAGGACTTCGGGGGAATAGCCTCCCGAGAAACATCTCAAACAAAACTTCTTAATATCATTTTCTTGTCTTCTTGCACTTGAGGTCTCAGATCAAATTTGAAGCCATCCTACAGTAGTTACTTGTTGCGGGCATTCTTCGGAATTTCCAGGAAATCTTAAGTTAACAATAAATTTCGCCGTTTTCCCATCTTTTGTTTCGATCCAGAGACATTCATCCATATTATCATCGAACCCAAAAGGCAGAACGTAAAGTTACGCATGTAAGTAAATGCGGATATTCTGGACATTAAAACTGAAGAAAGCCGTCTTTCGGAATGTGATGCCGTGTAGATATTGTGTCAACAGAATTTTCGGAGGAACGTATCGCCTCTATCTTCAGGTTAGAAGAAAGAAGAAAATCCGTGAGCAAGGAAGCAGGGTGAGCAGGTGTAATATCTACACGGCACCACATTCCAGAAGACGGCTTTCTTTGTAGTCATCGCCGTGAAAACCTCAAATCTTACATTAAAACTGAAGTTTGTGAAGCGAAAAATGAAGTCGTTCATCCGTTGTTTCTCAATCTGGCAACAATGTGTGTTTGTTTAGAATGTTTACGGCTTACATCAGGCACTTCGGGCTCCCTACACATGGATACCAACACGTTCTGCGCAGTGCACCTACTTACTTAACTGCAGCTTGGGAGTAGGGCTAGCCGTGTTAGCAATTCGGTTCGTGTACAAGCATTACCAGGCGCGACTAGACTTGAATTGATGTGCAGTTCAATTCTTGTTTATGTACATGCTAACTTATTAGCCCGAAGGCCAATTACGAAGTGAGCACGAGCGAATAAAAAACAAAACACACGAAACATTAAAACAATGCAATTTATTAAAGTTTCTTCTTATCATAGGTAAATTCATACTGAGCAGGTAGTCCTAGCGATAATGCTCTAGACTTGTATTCTGAAAGTCCTCAGTTAGATTCTCCGTCAGATCACCGTCTCTCCTGGCCGAGGTTTTCCGTGGTTTCTCTCAGGCTGCCTGGTAAAATGCCGGGAAGTGCCTCGATTAAACCGTGACCGTATCTTTTCAGATCCTTTCCAGTACATTCTTCAGCAGTCGCCCTATCATTCGGCTCCATAGAGTCTAGATATTGAAAATATCGTAAAATGACAAAAAGGAAAGAAAACGGGGAAATTCGTTAGTGACATCTGCAAATTAACAGCAGGCCTTAGAAATCAGGCAAGTCTTCCTTTTGTGTTCTTGAAATAAACACTTGACATACGTTTCCGTTTGTTTTGGAGTTTAATTGCGAGGATCTACAGATCTTGAGATTCAACTTACTGTAACGTTTCAGCACATTAAACAAATCTACTCAGTGGTGACAGACGCAGCTGAACTTTGACGCCATGTTTCGAATTATTTCTTTAATTTTCAACATATATGTTTTATTCTGAAACCTGCGAAGCCAAGATCAATTGATTTTCTCGTCTTTAAAAGGGAATATGAATTACAGTGGCAACAAGTAGATCTTAATTAGGAGCAAATCCAAACGAACCCCTTTTAGATCGTGATTCTTTCAAATGGTTAATTTTAGATTTTCGTAAACTTTCAAAGTATCTGTAAAATATTATGTCTTCATTATATGTATGTATCAAATTATTTAATTAATTAATTGGTTCCAGAAATACGGTATCCCGATTCCCACGAACGTACTAACGAATATGTTGACGAGAATAAAAATATTTCTGTGAAGCGTGGTATAAAGATTATCTGCGACAGAGTGATGTTAAGCAGGCGGCAGGTTTCTTGTATGTTGTACTTCCGGAATAAAGCCCTACGTATGGACGACCTGTTCTAATATTAAAAACGGTGTGTTTTAAATTATTATAAGAATAAGCAAGTTTTTTTCTTTGAACTCCATCAACCACCTGATCTCTCTCTCTCTCCCTCCCCCTTCCTAATCCCTCCCTTTCATATCAGGGCCCTTAAATCTTTACAACTTTTGCGCCCGTAAGAAAGCGTGTGTGTGTGCAGAAGCAATATCCCAGTGTCCCAGAGAATGCTGTAATGTTCATTTCTGTATTGCCAGTCAACTGCGCCGCATGAAGTGGTGGAAGGGGCTTGGCCTTGCGTGATGCCATCAATGGGCGGGCGGTCCTCACTGTTCTCTGGGCTGTGGTGATGTGGTGATGGTCACTGCATGTTGTGGACAACGCGCGACGCCCTCTTTCAACTGTCAGGTAATGTGAAACTCACCTTACATTTACTTTTATATCATGTTATATTGCAGCACAACAATAGTTCATGTACTGAGATTTTAAGTTGTTTGCATCAGATGCGTTATGCAGGCCTCAGTTCTATCTTTACCGCCCATACCTAACAACCACTTGGTCACAATTACTACACTTTATTTATGACCGCTATAAAATTTTATCGGCTTCATTAATCAGTATTTCAATCATAACCGTGTCAGAATTCACGAAAGCAATTCAGTACTCGTCCTGGGGTCATAATATCAGACAGAATATCCATGCTATTTTAAGAAAGTTACTCACCAGTTGGCATGCTTATATCGAACCAATAATACTGTTATTCTTAAATTAGGTTTGTTCAATTTGTTTGAACTAGTATACAGATCTACTTTCAAACAAGAAAGCTTTCTGTGTAATCTTCTGTCAATTCATAAAATAACTCGAACTCGATGTTATGTGTCACGCCCCTAAGCTTACCAGAGCAGGATGAAGGGAGTAATACAACAGAATAGCATTAAAATGCGGATGAACAATGCAACTCTTCACGTGTGTCCTGGAGGAAATAATTGGCCACATAACAGAAAAGAATCATCGTCTTACGAAGTCTGGTCCCATTCAATGAGCCATGGTTCCGTGCCCTGTCTCATTTGACCTGTTGTAGCATGCTAACACAGTGTGCTGCAGATGAGGTTATTTTTTAAATCTATTTCATCATTTACTTTGTTAAAGTGCGTTGCAAGCTACAGTAGAGCAACACGTGTTGCCTCCAAATAATGTGAAATGGATACTGTACAATGGCATAAGAGAATCATGTGATATTTACGTATTCTAGTGGCGACTTTCGAACAGGAAATGCCAAATATTATATGGAACAACGTGATAGCAATATGGTTGTGTAAACAAAATCTAGAACATTAACGAAACACTTTCGATAGTACAATGTTTTCATTAAAAATTTTTAAACGTTTTAATTTTAGAAATTTAATTGTTATCTGAACACTGTGTGAGATTTTATAGATCATACAGTGTTAAAAAATTTGTAAAATGATTAGCTGATGAGTGGGTCAGATCTATGTATGTAGACACTGACAGTAATGTGAAGGCAAGCTATCATTTGTGAGAAAGTAAACAACAGAGATGTTGGCGGCTAGTAACAGACAACGTAAATTAATTCGGCTGAGATATCTAAACATATATCGAGATCTTTAAACAAAGTGCTGGTTCAGTGTTAACAATAAGTAAATTATCAATATAGCGAGATAATGAGAATTTATGTCTACATCTCTTTAGTTGGAGTTAAGTTCAATCATCAAGAGCGTATTTAAATCCCACTTGCGCGTTTTAGTCCACACTGAATACAGTATTATAAGACTGAAACCTTCTGGATTCACTGCTATGCTTCAGGTCGCATTAACATATTGTTAATTGCACCTGCAGGTTTCACGGTTGTCACCTGATCCGTCGATACACAATGGAAGCAGGGGTGAACTTTGAAGTTCTGTATGGCATCAATTAATGAAAAAGCACAGAACATATTTATCTTTCATGCGTTCATACGAGGTGTTTTAGTCGTTTGAAGAGCACTGGTTACTTGACGGCCCAACTGCAAGCTCTAAAATTAAAAAAATCGGAATTTCTCTTATAGAATATGTTACATAAGATTCGCAAAATAAACAGCGATTATTTATGTAAATAACTTGGAGGTTTATTGTTTTTACTGTGAGGTCGAATCCTTACATTCTCTATTACTTCGACGAATTTCGTGAATCAAAGAGTTAATGTTAGAATAAATCTGTTGGTTAAAAATATAATGTCTGCAATCTTACCGAAATTGTTTGTTAAATTCAGATGTTTACGGACATGTAACTTCGGCACTAGATGTAGGTGAGTGGTTAGCGTCACTCCCCGGCTACTTTGTCCCCAAGAAAATAGCTTCCGTATTCTGTTGCTATGAGGTTGGTTAGGTCCCGGACTGGATGAGGTGACGAAAAGAAATTCTCGGCTCCTGCGGGAATCGAACCCCAGTTCTCCTGCCGTCAATTCCGTAAACTGGTTACTATACTGACTTCGCTACTCTGTTAGCGATCATGACTGACAATACAGCCTTCTTAGTCCCTATTACCAAAATTGCGTAACTTCGTTACCTCAGTGATCTCGTATAGTTCGACCCATCTGATTGATGAAACAGAATGTGTAACCAAGAGAATTACCAACTTTACGCTCCGGCTGTCTTTAATCTCGCTGGAACGATCTTCTAGCTCCGTTCTGAATGTGATGCCGAAAAGAGAAATTGCAAAGCCACAACCGAGAGTCGGAACCCATGCGTGTAGTGCGTAGAGCGTTAATCTACTGCCAGTTAGCCTAATAGCTTTGTAATATCCTGGCTTTCCCCCTTATTTCGCCTCTTTTTGATACAGCTGTGTTTCGTAGCACATTGTTGCGCTGTACTCGTATTTGCAGTTGAGATTCTACCCGACCGTGAGATGCCAGGTTTCCTAGGCACAGAAAGCAATGTACTAGTGTGTGTGTGTGTGTGTGTGTGTGTGAGAGAGAGAGAGAGAGAGAGAAAGAGAGACAGAATTCGTGACTCGGGACAACAATTATTATATTACTTATATTTATTTTATACTTTTGCATGAACATCTGAAAACATAAATTAACATGAAGTTTTTATCTTGCCTAAATGAATATATAGGAACAGTAGCGGCTTTAATTTTGACGAAATGTTGAAAATTTGATGCGTTAGTAATAATTGTAATATCGTGACATATATCCATACAGAATGCAATTCAATAGTTTAAGAATAAGTTGCTATTCTATATCTGCCTGATGATGACTTTTCATAAGCCGAAATGTGTAGCAAGATACCATTGAATTCAATAAATTCATTATAATCAGTTAATGTGAGCGAGATTCTGAGAGTTATTGTGTTGTGATGGATAAACAAATAATTAGCACGCGTTACAAGTGGGTAGAGGGTAGACGACGGAGATTCGATTTATGACGAGGGGCACGAATTATTTTCATTCGCCGCATACCGACCGACTGTGTGTTCACCCAACCTCATATCCAATTGGTATCGGAGGCTTCCATCAGCCAGGATCCAAATTGTTCCCAGATAAGCATATTTAAATTTCAGAACATTTGAAAATTATCAAATAGTCACACAGCTAGACGTACACAAAATATTTGCACGAGTGGAATATGCTATTTTATTTCTTTTATTGCTAGTGAGGTGGGACTAAGTCCCTTGTACTGCGGCCAGTTCTGGCCTATTGTACCAGCCCCTGATGATAGGTGAGGGTGATTGTGGAGCAATTGGTGGAATGAAGATTGGCAGGGGAAACCGAACTACTCGGAGAAAACCTGCCCCAGCGCCACTTTGTCCACCACAAATCCCACTTGACCAGATCCGGGATTGAACTCGGGCCGCCGCGGTGGGAACCAGCGACTAACCGCTTGAGCTATGGTGCGGTCTTATGCTATTGTAACTTAAGGCCCGTAATAATCACCACACAACAGTTAGGCCTACAACACAACCAGTTGGGAACTTCTGAGGTTGACGCGCATTGCAGTTCAAATCGTGCTAGGTGGGCCGATGACAGAAATGTGTCACTGCCAAATATGTATTCTGTCGCCTTCAGTAACGACACTGTATGTAGGCTAGCAGGGTCAGGATCGCGGAGTTCTTGTTTTTTTTTATATATGCTTTACACTGGCGACAAACCTGTTGTAGCTGATGTTACAACTGAATGTTGGCGCTTAGGTGACCGATAAGAAGCCACCCGCTGAGATTCGCATTTTTCTCGTTGGTAATATCTGTATGGATTCAAAGAAAATCAAGAATTAAACTGCATTTCCACATACGTTTTCCCACTGTTAACGTTTCTTATACTAAGGCCACGGAAAGAAGCCCCGTGTGTGGTGGGGATGACTATAATCGACGCTCCCAGTTTCGTCTGTTCTATTTTTGTTCACCTTACTCTAACACATGTCAGACAGTCCAAAGAGCTTGTCATTGAGAAAGATCTTTACGTCACTATTACCGCCAATATTCCAGTAAACGAGATGAGTAGGCAACTGCAGAGGACTACAGGGAAGTACATTGGATTGAGGGTGGGAGGGGGCAGTCCATGGGTTCTCGTTCAATAGCCCCAGTATAATCATTTGAACAGTCGATGAAATATACGTGGTAGAGTCATTAAGCTCGTGGAATGTGGTTTTGTCGCATCATATTACAAGGTATTCACATACACTTACGCAGATCCACATCGGCCCTCAAAATAGTTGCCGTTGGCCTCTATGCAAGTCTGCCAACGTTGATATAGCTGCCGAAAATATTGCTAAAACCTATTGGCAGTAAATTCCCGTACGACGCTTTGCGGCCATTCCACGAACTTATTGACTGTGGCAGTAGGTCTCTAGCTAACATTGCACTAAGGACAATATTTAGACCTTTGAGAAAATCCAGGATAACGTCAAGTGTAAAAGGTTCAACTGACTGTAAAAAGTATGTAATACGATATATCATGAAAGTGAGCGAATAGTACAGTAGAAACATTCGAACAAGTCCTCACAAGTCTAATCATTTGCTTTTACAATCGTCCTTGTTAAAGTCTGATGTACGTGTATTTAGCCGTAAGAACTGAAGTGTGACGCTCACAGACATTTCCGGTCTTTCGTTGAAGGTTTCTTCCATCCAGTACAAACAAAGTATATACTAAGCGCTCTTAACTGCTAAAACTGCGTAATATTGTGATTAGCGGGGCCCGGATTTTGATGACATGTCATCTTTTTTTCCTTGTATCCTATGCGATGCTCTTAAATATATAAATCTCGGATATGAGCTGCTGGTTACAGAAATGTAAATTTCATAGGTAATTTTTGTCATTTTTTTACATTTTTAGGTTTAAGGTTTTTTTTCATTTGGGGGGTAATTTTTTGGTAAATTTTTGGACTTTTAAGGGTACTTCTTGTCATTTTTGGCC